AATTTGTGTCACCTGTTCATTCATTTTCTCAGCCATTCCTGTTTTCCCTCTCTTTTTTTCCTTCTTCTAGTTCTTTTCTTATTTCATCACAGAGAATGGGGTTCGTACAGCCTAGATTTGCCTTGTTTGTGTGTAATTTTGCTCTTGAAGGAAGGTTGACATTGCCCAGAGTGCTTGGGTAACTCAGATCATCTTCTGCCCTTGGACCACAGAAAAGCCTGCCATTCTGACTCAGGAGGAAGTCAGAATCATTTCCCCAAGACAGTATCAGAGGGAGCCAAAATACTAGAAGGCAGAGGAAAGCAGAGCAATAATTTTTTCCCTTAGCTTAGTTACCCAAATTTTAAGAGCTTATATGGAAACAAGAGCAAACTTTTCCAAAGTTGAAAACAGAACTAGAAAGGAAAGCGTGGCCTTCCCTGCACACATAGCCACCCACACATACACACTGCCTCTAACAACTGCAGTCCTGTCCTCCACGTTTCCAAGCCCATCTCTTATTTGTCTTCACTGCATGCTTGTAGTTCAGGACTCATCTTCTCCAGGACTCTGCTATCCCTGCCTTCAGGCTCACTGCACCCTTTGTGACTCCTTCTGCATTTTAGATACCTACATGATCTTAATTGATCTTAATGCAGCTCTTTCTTTTCTTTTTTTTTTTTTTTTTTAAAAGATGACTGGTAAGGGGATCTTAACCCTTGACTTGGTGTTGTCAGCACCACGCTCAGCCAGTGAGCGAACCGGCCATCCCTATGTGGGATCCGAACCCGGGGCCTTGGTGTTATCAGCACCGCACTCTACCGAGTGAGCCACGGGCCGGCCCTTAATGCAGCTCTTTCTAACATGGTGTTTTCCTGTTTAAGCCTTGACAACAATTCCTAGGGACAAAAGGATGAGGTCTGAACTGCTTAATGTGTCCTAGGAGGCTTTTCAAGATCGGGCTCTCTCCTCTGCAGCCTCATTGACTGCTCCACCCTAGCCAGACTGAGTTTCCTGCAGCTCCGAACGTGCTGTACTCTTTCCCCTCCTGTGCCTTTGCACGCGCTGCTTCCATTGCCTGCAACATTTCTGGCATTCACCACCTGGCTATCTCCTTCTTAGCCTTCAGACCTAAGCTCAAATACATCCTTTGGGGGAAGGCTTCTAAGGCCCGCTCCCCACCCCTTCAGTCTGGGTTAGATGCCACATTCTCTGTACTTCTTTAACACCCTGGCTTCTCTCTGTCATAATCCTAAAAATATTGTATTGTGGTTGTCTGTTTACCTGGCTCTCTCCCTCATTGGCCTGTAAGCTCCTGGAGGACAAAGGACTCTGTCTCATGTATATTTATCTTTATGTTCTTGGGATTTGACACACCGCAGGAGTTCAATAAATATTTATGGAGTGCATTCATCCATTTTTCAAAAAAAAAAGTAATTTATAAAATTCAAAGAATCAAGAGAATAGGAATTGAAAGCAAATGTTCTGGGCAGTGTAACTTAGAACTCCTCTTGGTGCTTACAGCATAGTTTTCTTGTTTTCTGAAACTGTGTTTATTGTCTAATGTGTTCTTTCAGACAGCGGAGAAGATTTGTGGAATATAGGACTGTGGGGTGGGAGTGGGTTTGTTCATAGACCTAAGATAGCTACTTCATTTGCTAGGCCCTTCCTAGCCAGGGCCTCTGGGTTTTCTTTCTGGGTGGAGATCATTTTCTTTAAAATATGGAACTCCTCCAAGCCAAGAAGTTTTCACTTCTACTAGTCCTTTTTGTGTTCTGCTCTTCAAGCATTAGGAAGATGGAGCTCCATTTAAGTCTTGACAGGATCATGTTTCATGATCCCAGAAAAGTGTTTGTGTAACCTCAAGCCACGCTGAAAGTGAAATACAGCTTCTAAAGTGGGATTCTGCTGGACCTGACTCAACTTTTCATCTTGCCGCTTGGCTGTGTGCATTTGGTGTTTGAGTATGTGCTTCCCCTAAAGTCCTTAGGAGTTGCATATGCCAAGGCTTGCTTCCCAGTAACTAGAGAGAATTTTAGAAATTCAACAACAAACATTTATTGAGCCCAGTGGTATGTGCTGTGGGTGATACATGGTGATTGGGGCTTGGGCTCTGTCCTCAAGAGGCGTCCCATCTAGGAAGAAAGGCCAACGAGCACAGTTTTGGAGACATGAGAGAGCATGACGTACTCTAGGCCCAGTAATTTCTTTGGTGTCCAGAACGTTAGAGAAAGGAATGTCTTTTATTGAACTATGTACCAGACACAGGTTTAGGTGTTTTCAAGTCCATTAGTGCCTTTAATCTTCATATCATTCCTATCTTGTAGCTAGGAAATGAAATCCCTAATATGTAGCAGATACAGGCCCAGCAAATTAAATTGGGCAATCCAAAAGCTGGTAGATGGAGGTGGTGGGTGGTTCAGGATCTTCGGCAGGGAGGTGTTTGGTAGGGATGAGGGAACTGATCCCTGCTATATTTGCCCTCAGCAGATGGGATGGAGTCTGGGAGAAAGATCTCTAAGAATTGAGACCTGTAATTTCATGAATCTAGCTGCTAAGCTGGAGTAAGTGGAGTTGAGAGCCAATGATGAGGGGGTTGATCAAAACCTCTTCCTCGGAGACAAAGTGAAGGATGAAGGGGAAGATAATTTTTATGTAGAGATGAGGACATTGTCTCTGCACCTGTCAGATGATAGCATAGTTTTAGTATAGTGAGAAGTGAGGTTGCTGGGGGAGATAAAGAGAAATGTGGGTGTGGGGTTGGGGTAGAAAAGAGTTGAAAATTTTAATTATCTTCACATTGAACTTTAATCACATCTGTTAACATTTCCTTATACTGGGGGCACTTGGAAACCCCCTGCCTGACCACTTGTAAAGGATTCCCTTACTGGGGAGCCTAGAGCCTCCTGGCAGGTTCTGTACAAGTCTTTTCTTTCCTGATTCTCCTGTTTGACTCTGGTCAGGAGACAAACCTTTCTGTCCCATGATTATCACTGTTCAAACCTCCTTAGAAGGGGCTGGCCTGTGGCTCACTCGGGAGAGTGTGGTGCTATTAACACCAAGGCCACGGGTTCGGATCCCATATAGGGATGACCGGTTAGCTCACTGGGTGAGCGTGGTGCTGACAACACCAAGTCAAGGGTTAAGATCCCCTTACCGGTCATCTTTTTTTTAAAAAAAAAAAAACCTCCTTAGAAAAGAAAGAGGAGAAAAGGTTTATTTTTTTCCTTTGTGAAATAGTACATTCACTGGTCCTCAAGCTGTAAATGTATTAAGATGTAACACTTCTTGGCTACTATTTCATTTTCCTATAGTAGCATAGAAACAACCTAGCTTTCTTTTCTCTTTTTTTAAAAACAATAATAATAATTAAATGTCTAAGTAGGTAATGTATGTAATGGATACAAATTCAAAAGGTACAGGGGTTAGACTGGCCAGTAAGTCTCTCACCTTTGTTTTCTAGCCACCCAGTTTCCTTCTCCTGGGGTAACCAGCATCGCCAGTTTCTTGCTGTGATTTTGTGCCACTTTGTTGATTGCTGTGTTACCACAGAAGGGACATTGTGGAAACTGTCTGCACAAGTAATCCATGTTACTACTGTGCCCAGGCTCTGGCTGCTTATTTTTGGTGAAGTTTTATTCAGAACTCTATTTTCTTGCCTATAATGCAGCCAGAATGAAGTCACAATGCCAACATTATTAATGAGAATATTACCATCTGCAGAACAAAGACTTTTCAATTCAAAAAGCTGTTGGGCATAGGAATTTTGCAAGTGTTTTATTTCCCCATTTGAAACCCAGCCATGTGTTTCCTATTAAGTTACATGACTGATAGTTGCTGCTTACGGTCACTTAATACAAGGGTACTTCAAAAAGTTTGTGGAAAAGTAGAATTGAAAGATAATACGAATGTTTTTTAAAACTTTTTTCAGGGGCCGGCCCGGTGGCGCACTGGATAGTGTGCCACTTGGGAAGCGCGGCGGCGCTCCCGCCCAAGGGTTCGGATCCCACATACAGACCGGTTCCCGCTCGCTGGCTGAGCGAGGCGCGGGAGCAACGCCGAGGGTTGCGATCCCGTTGCCGGTCCCCAGTCCGGTACGGGGGCAACACTGAGGGTTGCGATCCGTTTGCCAGACACGGAAAAAGACAAAAAAAAAAAAAAAAACAACACCTTTTTTCAGTACCCTGGTACAAACTCCTGTTGCTAAATGTCTCACTTGATGTCTGTGTGTTTATTTTGCCATCTAGTACAAAGCATGCTTTTTTTTTTCGGTACCAATAGTTCATCAAGTTCCTGAACCGTAAGCTTGAGACAGGAATGAGCTACCCTTATACCTTTGCAAGTGGGTGGTCAGTAAGTGTTTCTCAGTGATTCTAAGAAAGACTCAGTGCGTTCACATGCCCCGGAGGAGGAAGGATGTTGGGAACAAGTGATAGGAGGTTTTTCACTGACCTTTCCTCTGGGTTAGTTGCTGACTCCTTCAGTAACAAGACCCTAGCTTCTTGATCCTCATTAAATGGTTGGTATCACTGAGTGTTCAGGAAAAAGTGGTCACCACTGTTTCCTTGTTACTGCTTCTGCTGATAGGAATTCATGTTGGCTGATCTTTTTTGGTTACACCCTGGATTCCTTTGTGACGAAAGGGAAAGTGGCATGGATTAATGACAGTGACTAATTATGCCTTGCTTCCTTTGTTTAGGAACTTATCTTTCTTTGCTGTTCTTTTGCCTTGAGAAATAAGGAAGTACAGGTGGCAGATGGAGAGCATGGGACTGAGAGTCCATAGAACTGGGTTCTGGTCCCACCACTGCTGTGCAACCTGCCCTTCTCTGGGCCTCAGTGTCCCTATCTGTCCAATAAGAGTTGGACTGTATGATTTCTATGATCCTTCTCTATTCAAAGAGCTATGATTTGGGGTCCCCTTTTCCTAAAGTCTGTGCTTCTCTGACCTTTCCTTTGCCTCTGTGTCCCCAGATCCCAGATGTCAATTACTGATTTGGATCTCTGATTTGCGCTTCTAGGTTTTCTTCGTGTCGGACCTCTTCAAGACTAAGACAACACTCTCCCTGCCTCCCTCTGCCATCAGGAAGGAAATTCTTTCACCTGTGGACATTATTGACAGGAACAATCACCACAACATGGTGTAGGTGCCTGAGCTGTTTTTGTAAAATGACTGCTGACAGCAAGTTCTTGCTGCTCTCCAATCTCATCAGACAGTAGAATGTAGGGAAAAACTTTTTGCCCGACTGATCTTAAAAAAGGAAAAACAAAAAATCTTACTTTGTGGCCTTCCAAAATAGGTAGTGTTCGCCTATGTGGAAACAACAGCAAACTAACACCAAGTGCCGGAATCCTGGATGTGCAATCGGTTTAAGTGTTCATGTTCTAGTGAACACGGGCTTGTTCAGGAACAAACACTAACATGATTGGAGTAGAGTCTGCTGGTCACCTTTTGTGACCTGAGGAATCCCAGGCCTGTGAGAAAAGCGCAAATTCATGTTGTAGCACACGATGCCAGAAATAGCACTGAATCAAGAAAATAGCCATGGGGAGTTCCCCTCTTGTGTGTCTGTGTCCATCCCCTCTGTTCTCTGCTGTGACTTTGATTCAGGAAGTTTTGTTTTGTTTTTTTAAATACTAGGAAAAGCAAGTTTTCAAAGTCACGTGATCAGATCCCAAATCCAAGTTCCCAGTCCTAAGGCTTCCTCACCTCCCCAGCCCATAGGCCAGCAACCCCAGTTCTTCACTTTAGTGACTCTGTGGATGAGTGAATTTCACAGATAGCACAATTTCAAAAGAAACCGAGGGTAGGGATCCTCATCTGTCTTCTTTTGACACGTCATCCTGTGACGTTGACATATCGATTGCAGGATGCTGATGTTGTATACATCAGTCACTGGCCACTTGCCCACTTAGAAATGGTTAGACTTCGGTTCCTGCTTTCTCCTTTGATATCCTTGCTCTGTGCCTACTGGGGTTTCCCGTGAGGGTCCAAAGGCACGGTCTGCCACCAGCTGATGCAAAGTAGCCTTCTGTACAAGAGGTGGGAAGTGAAGGGGGAAGAATGAAAAAAGGAACCAAACTTTGGTTACTCAAAGTCAGAAGGAGCCAGAGTAGCAGATGGTCTCTGTCTGAGAGGCTACCCTTCAAGATAACGGAGCTGAGCTGATGAGGGTCTTTGTGGGAGTTGCTCTTGCTAAGCGGTGTAAAGCACTATTGTCTTAGGGTTGACCCTTAGGGCAGTTCTTGGTAGGTTCTGCTGGGCAGAACACATGGGTTAAATCTCCGTAGAGAGTTTTCCTCATCCTCTATCCATAAGTGTCCTTCCAAGCAAGGTCCCACTCTAGGTTGTAGACAGGGACTCCTACTGAACCTTTGAGGAAAGGGAGAAGGAAGAAATGCTTTTAGATCTTGGATGCAGACCTTTCAAAGGGCTACATGTAACCATATGGATCAACCACATGCACATCCTTGCTACAGAATCCGTCCTTTCATTTCAACTTATAGCAAGCTATGATTTTTATATATAAATATTATATAAATAATGTATAAAACATTAAAAGTTAACTATGTAAAATATTATTTCTGAAACAATTTTAGCTATATCCACTATGATTATAAACTGTGTCTCGACCTGTGTTATTTACATTAGCTGCTTAAAAAAGCATTGAGTTAATTTTTTTTAATATCAACTAAAATTTCATAGTTCTGTGGTAGATATTGTTTTACAACGAAAGAAATAACTGCAACTAGAGAAAACTGTATAAAAACATTAAATTGTCAGTATTTTTGTAAGGTTCCATTTTGTAAAGAGAATAATATTCAAAGACTTTTGTAGCATACAAAGTGAAAACTTGTATCTGCGAAACTATACTTGTGTTAAATGTGCTTTTTAAATAAAAGCTCATAACAACTGATTAGGGAATTGGAAATGTAGAATGTTTGGGGATGGTGGTCTCGGGTGTGTGGGTAGGAGGGGGGGTCAGCCTCATCTCAGGGCACTGCTCCTGATCCCACTGTGGGAAATATGGTGGCTAGAATAGAGATACCACGTCTAAGCTGCTCTTTCATCTCGGAAAGCCTGTTTGCAGAGTGGGCTCTGGCTCTACTCTCAGCTCAGGCTCTTCTGAAGAGCTTTTGTATTCTAAAAGGAGGCAGGAGCTGTGGGTCCCCCAAAGGCAGATAAGCAGTGCTTAGATAAGGCATGCTTGGGGAGCTTAGGAGGGACCCCTCCACAGCACTCATCACAGGAAGGAGGGTGCACCGCTGAGAACAGGGTTGGCCTCCTGCTTTCCCTCCTTGTGTCTCCCCAACCTGGAAGAAAAGGGGAAGCTGGAATTAGCCGTTATCAAGCACCCGTGTGCCAGGCATTTCTGCCTATTTGTTTTTTTGATCCCCACAGCAGTTCTTATTTGGAGAAATACGGAATACTAAGGAATGTGAAGATGAAATGACTTGTCGAAGATCCTGGAACAGTAAGTTGCAGGACAGGTCTTATATTACTTTCCTGTGGCTGCTGTAACAACTTACCACACACACAGTGGCTTAAAACAACACACATTATCTTACCGTTCGGGGGCTCTAGGGCAGACGTTGTTTCCTTACCTTTTCCAGCTTCCAGAGGCCACCTGCATTCCTTGTCTTGTGGCCCTCTTTTTTTCATCTTCAAAGCTAGCAACGTTGAGTGAGTCTTCACTCTGCTGCCTCTGGTCCTCTTCTCCCACCCCTTCTTCATTTAAGGGCCCTGGTGGTTACATGAGCCCACTCAAGTAATCTAGGATAATCAACCTGTGTTCAAGTCAGCTGATTAGCAAACTTAATTCAATTGCTACCTTAATTCCCCTTTGCCATGTAATATAACATGCACAGATGCCAAGTATTAGGGCATGGAAATGTTTGGTTGGAGGACCATTTTGACTATAGTAGTTTACCCTCCGGCCTCCAAAGATTCACATTTGTCCCACGTGCCAAATAGATTCACCCTGTCCTCACACTCCCCAGATACTCAACACATTACAGCATCAACTCAAAGTCCAAAATCTTATCTAAATCTTAACAACTCAAAACCCAAATCTCATTATCTAAACTAAGCCATTTAGGTTAAGTATGAGGCTGGGGATTTAATCCACCTTGAGGGACTGTTGCTGTCCATCTGTGAACCTGTGAAACTCAAGAAACAAGTTATCCACTCCCAAAATTTAATGATGAGACAGGCATAAAATAACAGTTACAGACACTCCTGTTCAAAAAGAGAGAAGTGGGAGGGGAAAAGGAGTCATGGATCCCAAGAAATTTCAAATTCCAGCCGGGCAAGCTCCATTTGGTTTCAAGGACTGGAAATAAACCCACGTGGCTTGTGGCTTGCTTTCTTGCCCCCCAGGGTCAGCCTGCTCTTTGCTGCTAGACATAGCAGGCCCGCTCAGGCCCCTGTGCTAGCTCAGCATTTTCTCAGTATTTTTCTGTAAGTGATGATGTACCTTTGGGCCCCAGGATGCAGCTGGGGAGATCCTTAAGGCCAGAGTCCAAATTTTTACCGCAAATCTGAGGAACAAAGGTCCAGGGAGACGAAATAACTCTTGCGGGCGGGGGTCGGGGGAGGGAAAGCACACAGAAAGCGGTGGAACTGGTGAGATGAGAACCCAGGTCTCCTGGTACTAGTCCCTCATTCTCTCCGTTATGCTTTCCAGAAGGACTGGACGGACTAAACTGTTCTCAGGAAGAAATCACCCCATTCCATGGGGACTTACAGGAGAGACGGAGCTGCACCTCACAAGATCTGTGCACCGTGCTGCACAGCATGATGTGGCAGAAAGAAACGTGGACTTTGGGAGTCAGACCCAGGTCACAGTCTTGGTTCTGCCACTTACTTATTGACTATGTGATGTGCCTTTGGACAAGTTTCTTAACCTCTCTGAGCCTGTTACTCCATAAGATGAAATTTATAAGACCTGCTTTCACACCTCTTTGCTCATGGCTTTCTGTCAGCCTAGACCCTTGATTCTCAAAATGTGCTCCACAGACTAACAACATCTGTACCCCTGCGGAGCTTGACAGAGCTGATAGCCCCTTCCCCTACCCAGACGCACAGAATCATCCTTTGAACAAGATTCCCAGGTGATTCATATGCACAACCAAGTTAGAGAAATACCCCTTCTTTGCTCCCTGAACTTTTCGGGTGTGCCCTCCCCTTAACCACACCCCTCCAAGGCTTGGGTCCATGCATGCTGTGCTGATAGCAGTAACCTCTTAGCTTTATGTACCAAAATTAGACTTGTAAAGGTCTGTATCAGGGGTAATAGCATGTCTTACCTTCTCTCCCAAATCCTGCCTTCCTGCCTGACATTGGCCAGTTCCTGGTAATTGTTGAACCAATTAATCAAAAAGTCACATGACAGGGCCGGCCTGTGGCTCACTCGGTAGAGTGCGGTGCTGATAACACCAAGGCCCCGGGTTCGGATCCCATATAGGGATGGCCGGTTTGCTCACTGGCTGAGCGTGGTGATGACAACACCAAGCCAAGGGTTGAGATCCCCTTACCGGTCATCTTTAAAAAAAAAAAAAAAAAAAAAAAAAAAAAAGTCACATGACGGATGGTAACCATCGATTAAACAGGCTGCAAGGTTACAGAGAACTATAAAAC